GGCCAGAAGGGGACTTTATCCTTGGTTCTTTGAAGCATTTTTAAGCTGATACGCGGGGGTTTATCTTTCCAAAGGAAAAGTTTTAAAACGAGATAGAAAAAAAATTGTGAAAAAGAAACAATAGAATGAATATATAATAATATATTTTTGCGCATTAGCTTAGCTTATCATTAGCCTATATCACTAGAATTTTCACTTTTCCCTCAACATTCATACTAAATGCACAGTGAAAGTCAATACACTGACACCTATGTTCAGAGTAAATCCCCTGACCGGCTGGGTGGTATTTCCAGCCTCCCTCTCCAGTTCACAGGCAAAATGTGTCAGTCTGCTGCCTCTGTGTCCAGAATAGATCTATGCCAAATCATAGACCCCTCCTTAACAGCAGCACTGCAGTCACAGCACATCCCATGCAACATGTCTCTGCTTCCTCAGCTGCTCTTTCCAAACTTCTCTGTCATTTTCCTCAACTTGGCTTGTTTCTGCTGAAAGATTAATTACCAGCTACAAGAGTCAAATGCCTGAACAGGAATGGATGAACATGGTGAAATGTGGGCTGGGAAGGTATGACAAACGCTTTCTGAAACTGTGCAGCTCCTGTTCTTTCAATTACTACCATTACTGCACGCTAACATCCAGCTGTGACTGCTGCAGCCAAACAACAGGTAATAACCTGCAGTTATTAGGATGTATACAATTAAGCATGTTTAGATATTTAAGTTGGCATAAAATTGCATATTTATTCTGGGCATTTTTTTCCCTCTGTTCATGTTAACTGTCACTTTTTATTTATTTATTAATTATCTTTGTAATCATATGAAGGCTACAAATAACCACAAAGATGCTGTTCCAGAAACATCCTGTCATATTAAATTTTCCCACAGAATAAATGTACATATTTTCTTCACTTGCTCCACAATCCAAAAACCAACTACGTCCTCGTGCCTTCAGAAAGCCCTGACATGTTTTGTTTCTTCCATCTGTCAACAGGGATATTTGGCCAGCGTCTAGAGGACACGGTGCAGTACGAGAAGAAGTTTGGCCCCCGCCTTGCACCCCTGCTGGTTGAGCAGTGTGTGGACTTTATCAGAGAGAGGGGTCTGGATGAGGAAGGTCTCTTTCGAATGCCAGGACAGGCCAACCTGGTCAGGGAGCTGCAGGAGGCCTTCGACTGTGGGGACAAGCCCCTGTTTGACAGGTGGGTGAGAGGATGAAATGGGAAAATTCACTTTGCCAAAGACTTTTATGATCATCACTGATTTGAATTCTACTGAATCATCTTTCTTTCTGACTTGCAGTAACACAGACGTCCACACAGTGGCATCCTTGCTGAAGTTGTACCTGCGAGAGCTGCCTGAACCAGTTATCCCCTTCTCCAAATATGAAGACTTTCTAACCTGTGCGCAGCTTTTGGCCAAAGACGAGGAGGAGGTACGTGCTGTTTACCTTTGGTGTGTGGACTTTGAGTGGTACTGTAAGTAGAATAAGAATGATTTGTCTCATATCAGGGAGTCCAGGAGCTTGGAAAGCAAGTTAGCACTCTACCTCTACCGAACTACAACCTCCTCAAGTACATATGCAAGTGAGTGACTTCATCCGTTAGGTTGAGAACTTAGCTTTTGTAGCCTAATAAGTTTTTTACTCTAGTTTTTCACTATATCTCTCCTTAGATTCCTTGATGAGGTCCAGTCCCACTGTAATGAGAACAAGATGAGTGTCCAGAACCTTGCCACAGTATTTGGACCTAACATCCTTAGACCGAAGATGGAGGACCCGGTCACTATCATGGAAGGTACAGACAAAATAATGACAATCAAATAAGGTTCTGTTTTTCTGTAATTTATTTATTAAAAATGATAGTTTAGAATAAAACTAAAAAAGGTTATACCGACACTGGCTGAATGTGATTTGTATTGTCTAGGAACTTCTCTTGTCCAGCACCTGATGACAGTCCTCATCAGGGAACACAACCGTTTGTACTCAGGGAGGGAACAGGAGGGGCCAGCTCTACCCCAAACTGAGATCCCCATCCAAGGGCATCATCTCCAACACCGCAGCCTGGGAGCCTGGATCTCTGAAGAGGACCTTCAGAATTGCCCCGTCTCCAACCCAGACCAAGATGTGCACAGCAGTGCCTCATCCCTGGACGCCAAGCTGTGCGCAGCCGTCAGTCCCACTCAGACCCCTAACCCAAACCCTGGACCAAAACTTGGGTCTTCATCGGGAAAGGGTGAGACGGTAATCAGTCCGAGTAAACAAGCCAAGACCATGCCTTCCTGGAAATATTCCTTCAAAAGCTCCTCAGCGCCTCGTTCCCAGCCGCAAGCTAAGCAAACCAGCAGCAGTGGCTCCGCAGCAGATACAACCAGTCTGTCTTCTGGTGGTGGAGGAGGTGGAAGCGGTGGCAACTGGCTTATGAACGGTTTGTCCTCCTTGAGGGGACACCGGCGCACATCTTCAGGGGAACGGTCCACCCGTGACCGTGACTCCACCGGTTCCTCCCAGAGGCTGTCCACGTATGACAACGTGACCTCCTCCTCTAGCATGGGGAGCGTTCCAAGTGTATCCAGCACACCGTGGTCCACGTCCTCCTGTGAAATATCTGTCCCGGACTCAGCAAGCGAGCCCCCGGTGCACCAGAACTGTGGAGGTGTGTTGGAAGGTGGAGATAGCCACAGAGAGATTAACAAGGAAAGGGATGGAGGGATGACGACAGACGCGAGCTCCGAGCAGGACAGTTGCGAGGCCATGGAGCTGTGCAGCAGCAGCGCGGCCTGCAGTGAAAATGGAAACGTGGCCACAGCAGCCGGGGTGCCGTCCATTATCATGTCCGAAGATGGAGATGGGGAAAAACTAACACTGAGCAGCCTGGTAGAGGGACTGAAAGACGAGCTGAGAAAACAGAAGACTACATATGAGACCAGGATCCAAAAGTAAGTCTCTGATGCAGGATCTTTCAAACTTATAATAGTAGTATCGGTCTTTTATATGGTAAATAGAAAGACATTTGAATGACTTTGGATGTCAGGCTTTTTTTTCATTAGCACAGAACCAATGGAATACTTAAATTACAACCTGCTGTGAGCCCTTTAAAGGGCAATTGCAATTCTTTACAGTTGGGGGAACACGTCAGTAAGACACTGAATAAAGACTGAATAAATAAATATGAAATACATCCTGAGATGGAAAAAGTTCCCAAAACAAAAGATTGTATATTTACCATAATTCCAATTACCATTTTTTATACTAAACCCAAATGGCATGGTTAAAGCACACCTATGCTCAGTTTGTAACACACCAATTTAAGTGTGTTAACACTTAAAATGTTGTTACCTGTAACACTGAAAATGAACTGGTATTTTCAATAACCTTTCCCTTTTTGCAACTAAAGCCTGTCATGGAAATAAATGGCATGTTTTTTAAGACATACACAGAGGTGCTTTAAGCAACAAACAAAATGTTAAATCATTGGGCTGGAAGCAGCATATTTATATACCTGTGCCCATGCGTCATTATTAGTCGTGTCCAAATTATTATTATCTACAATTATCTAATCTAATCTAATAACTTTAATCTCACCCAAACCGATTTACTCACGAACAAATAAAACAATAACATTTTTAGGTTGTCTAAGTGACTTATTTATTACGTTTAACCTGAGTAGCAAAAGCCTGCGGTGATCTGAAAATGATGTGCCGGGAGTTGTGCTGTTCTCGGCGGCTCTAGTGATCCTCGAGCTCTCGACTAGCTATCGAGCTGGTGGGTAGCAGACGTCTCCGAAAACATCGAAGCACTTTTGCAAATATGGGATATCTTGATAAACTGAGCAGATATTTGAAGTTTACACACCCCCACATTCTCGCCTGAAAATATGTTAAAAGTTTATTTTGTGACCCAGAAAGATTAATAAGAGTAATTTTAAAACTTAGTAGCGGCCGCCATTGCCGGAAACTGGAGTTTGGCTGGGCTGTGCTATGAATTCTGGGATATGGTGGGCCACGAAGGACACACCCGACCCATCCTTCAAATTAGGTGAAAAGGAGGACGCATTTGTCGGCTGCATTCGGAGGAGTCTACGAATTTGGACAGCCTTCAGCACGTCGCTGTGACGTAATCGGTCTACAAATGCGTCCTCAGGAGGATGCAGCCCATGAATTTGGACACGACATTGTTTGGTCTATAATTTTAGTCTGTTGTTAGGTGGTTGCATGGCAACACGATGACGTCATAATATATTATATATAATTAAAGCTGGATATAAAGGAAATTTTACCGTTGCAAAATTAAAGTTATACAATGCTCTTATAAGGCATTAGAGGTGCATAAATGCTGCAAATGGGTCATTATAGCCCTTGGTAGGTGTTGACTAGGCAACGTGATGATGTTATTATCTGCTATAGATAAGAACCTTCAGGGGTCTAAGCTATACCTGTGTGCCAGTTTTGGTAGCTCAGCTCCAGATAGTGTTGGAAATGTTTGAAGAAAACTGATAGAGATTATGTGTATTATGTAAGTAAGACATATATATATATGTAGAGAGATAGCTAACAGTGGTTCTTGCAGGGCAGATTTGTTTTATTTCCTCCAATGCCAAGAATATCACATTAGTATTAATCTGGGCACACGGGTCAGACAAAAAGTTGGGAAGGTAGGAAGTGTTTATGTGCTCTACTGGGTGGTTCAGCCAAACAGAAAAAAGGCAAATGTCCGTGACCTTTTCTGTGTGTATTGTGCTTCCACACAGATTGGAAGAGTCTAGTGCTGCTCTGTGTGCCCAGATGGAGCGTTTGGAACAGGAGATGGAGCAGGAGAGGAAGAAGCAGCGCATGCTGGAGATAAAACTCAGAAACTCTGAGCGGGCACGGGAGGATGCGGAGAATCGCAACCGCCTCTTGGAAAAGGAAATGGAGGATTTTTTTGCCACGCTGGGCGATCTGGCCCTTGGTGCAAGGACTAGTGACCTTTGATACACGGCCTCTCATCTGTCTCGGGGTGGGGGGGTGGGGGTGGGGGCATTTTGTGGTATGGGTCCTAACTCAAAATAAGACTGAAAATAGAAAATAAAGAAAACCTACTTGTGCACATTCAGGAAACGTTAAAAAGATGCGTAGAGACCAGATAGAAAATTCTGAAGGAAATAAACTTTGACTTTTTTCTTTCTGAGGATCATCTCTACTAAACAGCAAGTGGTCTTGATTTTGTTACGCACGCATGCTAAAAAGATGGCCCTCCTGTGATTACTGCAGAGGTTTGTCTTACAAATGGAGTTCAGGTGCCTGGATATGAAGGGTGGAACATAATGTAACATTTTATGAAGTGGATAGCACTGACTTCTTTAACCACTACTTTAAAAAGACAATAACTGAATGGATTTTGTGTTAAAAGTGTGCAACAGCGGACTGCTGTCTATCTGTATGGGATCTTAAAGCAATAGCTTCACATTTTGGGAAATACACTTATTTGCTGTCTTGCAGAGTTAGATGAGAAGTGTGAAACCAATCTCATGCCTGTATGTCAAAGAAGGCGCTAAAGCTAATAGCCATTGAGCCTAGCTTAGGGGCACAAACACGAGGCTCTAGAACCATTGGTAAAGAGCCATTTTTTTAAGAAGTTTTTTTTTTTTAAGCTATTAGGCTATTGATTATAAAATGCAAAAGCCTACTGGGCTTATGAACACAGCTTCATAGTGATTGTTTCAAAGTAGGCGTAAACATGTTAATAGGTAGCTAAGACATAAATAGCTAATACCTTAGAGATATTTTCTTACACTTCACAGTTATTCTGCTTTGTTGATGATTTTAAAAAAGGGAAAGTAATTAGTTTTCGTTAGATCAAAATATCATTTTAGTAATAAAAATTTAAAACCAACAAAGAATCATTAGTAGACAAAAGCTGTTATGCATAGTATGGTAAAAGACTTTAATTTACACCTGTTAGTAATAAGTCATTATACACCTAACAGACGGTGTTTCCTTCATCATACACCTCAAAAAGCATTTTGGCCCCATACATAGATTTTTTTGATCAGAAATTGCTAGAAATGGCTCGTTTGATAAAGGTAGCTCACCAATTAGCCTAGCGTAACACAAGTTAAAATGAGTGGCCTAGTACTGCTTACATATAAAAACTTCACTGACACTTGCAAAGCTAATTGATTAGCATATATAATTTCATTTTCTGGGCACTTAAAAACTAAAACATTAAGAAAATATTAGGTTGTGGTTTTCATGCTAACCCGAGGTAGCTATGTCTAGCTTTAGTATGCATAATGGTATTGGACTTTTTAGCTAAAACTTGGCAAGAAAGCAAATACACTTCCCAAAATGTCAAACAGTGTCTTATACTGCAGGGTCAGTTTAGGCTGTAGAGGAAGCTAGCAAATGCTTTTCTGTTTCAGAATTTGAAAATGTTAGTTTCTAAAAAAGAACTGTAACTTTTACAAATTGACCCTTTTTAAATATCATTTTAATCTTTTAAACACCAGACACTGAAATGATACTAGGTTAGTGCAGGCCAAAATCCTATTCATGTACTGTATATCTTCAAATCTGGGCAAATGAAAGTTTTTGAGTAGCTTATAACTTCTAATTACGAGTATTTTGTACTATTTGGGTAAACTGACTCCTTAACTACAGTGGTAGCTTTAGCAGGTTCAATTTGTATATTGCAACACAAAGGCAGGTTTAAGAAAACTACTCTTTCCAAACAGTTTCTTTTCAGAGGGGGAAAAAAAAGCAAACGCATTAACAGATGGGACTTCTGCCATAGCTCTTCTTTATCCTCAGGCCCTTCCAGTGCCTCTCGTCACCATCGACATGGTTCCCGAACTCATTTGATGGCGAAGCCTCAATCTCTGGTTCGCTCTGATCCTCACTGATGTCAACATACCTTTAATGTACAGATAATATAACAGGTTCTTTTCAGCTTAGCACACGGGATATGTGCCTCAGTACATGAAGGCCATTTACAGTACACAGTAAAATACCAAAGCTAGACCGCCTCAGTTCGCTCACGAGAGATCAGAATGGCCTGCCTGGAAGCCATGTTGATTTTGGCACAGGAAGCTGAACACTGCCCTCAAAGAAACAATGGAGTTTCCTGGTTGTGCCTTCAGGGAAGCATTTTGAACTAGGAAAAATGAAGTGTTGCTTGCTAGTCCACAGATGTGGTGCATATACTTCTCCATAATAGCTTTTTTAAAAGACATATGGAACAAACTGCTGATGCTGATGAGTCCCTCGAAGGTGCCAATTCTTGTGAAAGTGAATTGTGAATTGAATGGAAGTTTTGCATTAAGAATGTATCTTTATAGTGAATGTAACGTGTCGTTGATCAAACCAGCCCGATAGAAAATTGTAAACAATAGAGAAAGTATCAAACTCACTGTAACACTCAAATGTCTTCTCCCAAGATGAGTGAGTACTACTGAGTTTTGTGAGAACGTTATCTTCAGCATCTTACCGTTAATCAGAACATCGAGAGGTGTAACTAGTAACAGTCAATCCCCGAAGGGCCCCTTAGGCAGTACAATTATATGTGAAAGCGTGCTTTTGGTTGGGCAATGTGACCATTTTTTAAAGAGCTAAAATACAGTGTTGTTATATTGACTTCATTTGCACATGTACACGCTGGTCTAACTCTTTGATTCCAACAGCCTTTTACTTTTCTCCTATGTATGTCTCATGACGAAGGTTAAATGTTTGTTATTGCTCTGCTGATCATCTATGGTGCTTATTTATTATGGATTTTCACTATTGTAACAAATGGCCGTGTATGGAAATAAAGGTGACAAGGATCACACACATGACGGTGATGAACCCGACCTTTTGGAGTTTCTGATCTGTTAGCGTTACAGGTGATAACTTAGCACTCCACCTTCTGTTCAAATATGGCCACTTTTGGCCCCAGAATCAAAATGGGTGTGGTCAAATCCTGACACTGGCCTCCAATTTTATATACAGTCTAAAGCAGCAGTCCCCAACCTTTTTTGCGCCACGGGCCGGTTTATGTTCGACAATATTTTCATGGACTGGCCGTTAAGGTGTCGCGGATAAATACAACAAAATAAAACCAGTACTGGTACGAAAAAAAAAGAGGATTTAATCATAACACACGGGAAAAGACCCATGGAAACCGAGTTAATGATAAAAATGATTTAAAAAAATAGCGATAAACCATAAATTTCACACCCGAGCTTCAACTCTCACGGCCCGGGGATTGGGGACTGCTGGTCTAAAGTTTTAGCCCAAATAGCTGCTGGCTAATAATCAATCCAATACTGGCACACCTCACAATCCTGTAATACTTAAACTTTGAATGATAGAATAAGCACAACGCAGTGAGCATATTTTGATCTCAGAGATAATAAAGAAGTGAACCTAGCTTCAAAGTGATGCTAACTGCCATTCCGTCAGATTGGCAACATAAAACAACTGCACTGTTACAAAAAGTAGAGTTTTCACTTTTTACCAAGTAAGTTTTTTAGTGGATTTATGATGGCTGATGATCCCATTCAGAGTAAAACGTTTTAAAATTCAGCTACTTTGGAATAGATAAGATGCAAGGGTACCTAGACCTGGGGTATAGAATACGCTTGGGGAGTGTGATTGTGTGTACAGTGTTTATTTATGTCTGTCTCCACGTTGGGTGAGTGCTGAGTACTTGCATGAGGGTTGGAATGGATCTTCGTTTCTGTGTGTGCCTGTTTGTCTGTGTCTATATGTCAGATCGGGTATCAGACGCCACCTCTCTAGGGGCATCTCAGCCCTCCAAGGTATGGAGGCCTATCTCGCCCCACCACTCCCCCTGCCAGTGGCAGACGCCCTCAGACATCGGTGCATTGGTGGTTCTTGGTGTCCGGGGATGGGCGTCCAGGTACGCACCGGCTCACTCCTGGTGGCTGCTTGTCGGGGCCTGGAGCCTGGGGCTCAGTTGGGCCCCTTTTGGGGGTGGAGTGCCCTCGGCCTCTCGGCCTGGGGCTCGGTCACTCAGGCACAGCTGGCTGCCGGTGGAGCTCACGGGCACGTCACTGCAACCCCCCCTGGCTTCTGCTCCGCGGCTGCTGAGTGACCCGTCATCTGGGGCTCTCCTCAGCTCTTTCTGGGATAGTGGTGCAGCTGCCCCTCTGTTGGTCTTCCTTGGTCTCTTGTGCTCTGAGGGCCTCTGGAGCCTGGATCTCCTCCATACCTGCTTCATGCCCTGGTGGACGGGGCTGTGGCTCCCCACACCCTCTAGCAGATCATTACATGAAGGAACCTTTTGAATACAAGCGCGCTCATGCTCACAGGTGTACACACGGGTGCTCACACACACAAACTACACCCTTTTTGGCTCCTACCTCAAAGCACACTGTGCGCTGTTGGTCTTACATGCTGCACAATAATATTCAATATTTAGTATTTACTGTTATTTACTGTTAGATTATTGCAATAATGTTGTTTATTATATTGCTCTCTTTTCTTGCTTGTTTTCTCTTTTTTCTTTCTCAACAGGTGATCGAGGTGATTGAAATATGTATTTTTTGTCTGTTTGTTTTGTTTGTTTTTTGCCCTTTATCACCGTTCCTCTTCCCCGCTGTTTTTCTTTCCCTACCTCTTTCTTTCTCCCTTTTCTTTCCCCCAGTCATGTCTGTCCCGTGTGTAGCAAGTGGAAATAAAATAAAATAAACAATAAAAACAAAGGTCAATCAAATGGACCAATACGGCAAGGCCGGGATGTTCCATTTAGTAAAGTAAATCCGTTGGGCATCTTTCTTTGCCTTTAGACAATAATTCTGATGGCAAAAGAACCAAACGGGACAGGCGAGAAAAAAAAAGGAATAGATAAGATGCCAGGATGTAGACGTGCATGGTGTTTTTAGGTTCTCATTCAGACCCAGCTCTTTGACGATGCCTAGCTTCTTATTCAAATACGGTCACTTTGGTTCACAATAAACAGAAAACAAAACAAGATGGCAACTGCAAAAAATACTAGTCACTGATAGTTTACTTTTTTTCTTCCGTTTCCACAACTGACTGTTCACATCCTTGTTTCAGGTCATTTGGTCTATGGCAGTTCCTTCCCAATGACATCACTCAGGCCATTAAAAAAAAAAAAAAATCAAACAAGCCATGAGTGGTCATCACTTGTTACTCTTAACTATACCTGCAAAATATCACAAATAACCAAAAACACACACACATCAATACTTGTCCTTAGCTGATGAATATATCATAACTGACCCAAACTGATTGTCTCAACAGAAGCTACATTTTGATTGAAAGGGTTTCATGAATGTTTGACATGTGTGGTGATGTTTAAGGACAACTGCATGAATATTTTTTTATTATTATTGTCATTACTGTTATTCTGCTGCTTCACAGTTTGCTGGTCCTAAAAGGTACTTTATGTAATTACCCGCTGCAAATCTTAAATAAACCGTGCACCACCAGGGGGCAGTATTTTTACCAGGAGGTAAGTTGAAATGTTTGATTTTTTTTTTTTTTTTAGCCCAACACCACTTTCTGTATCACCCTTTTCCAGGCAAAATGTGTCTTTAATGACTTTCACAGTTAAATAAAGATTATACCGAATATACATATTCTGTTGATAGTATTAGTTACTTCTGGGAGGATTTAAATGCAGGGATTTACCGCGAGTACCCTTAAGAACTGCATTTGTCTTTATTCACAGACACAGACATACAATGAATGAATCAAAGTGTATTTGTTTTATTTGCAGTATATTTTATTTTTTTCATTTTTTTTTCCGTTTTTGAGTTTTTAAGAGGTGGCATCATCAGATCCCAATGCATGTATTCTAGTAGTGCACTTCTTTGTGGGTTGCGGTTTTTTGGGTGTCGCAGATCCAGGAAATCTTAAAACTACTTGCATGGCTGGATTCACTAGCAAACATTACAAACCAGCACCATACATATAATGAATTCTCGTAGGTATTGACTCATTTTTTGTGTGAGTTTCTTAACAATATTATTCTAAGCATGTCCCCAAATCAAAAATCTGTCACCCATGTGTGAGTCAAAGAACTTTCGGTCTCTGCATCAAACTCCAGGTGAAAGACTTTGTTTGTTTCTTTGTTTTTTGACGGGTAAGACCAAATACGTAACATTTTGACTATAAACAAGTCACAGAAATAAAAACTGATCTTATTCATTAAAAAAAACAAAACAAAAAAAACAAAATCAAAACATGGATTGACAGTACCAAACATTTTCTTTACCTTCAGGAGACAGCTAACAAAGGCTAGGCCCATCACATACTACTCGCACAGTTTGCTGAAGGTATTGCACATTTAGTTCAAAAACAAAAAGAAAACAACAACAAAAAAAATATACATATAACAATTCTCTTACTTCTAGGTGAAGTATACATAATGTACAAAACTAGAAGTCTGTTGAAACCGACAAATAGTACACTTTCAAATAAATAAATAATGGAATCTGTTATTCACATGTCTTCGATAGCTAATTCTGCAGGCGACTATATGCAAGAACAGGCAGAAATTCAGCGTGAGGTAGTTCATCAAAGCTGACTTGAATCAGAATGAAAGTGGTTGAGAGATGTAATAATGACAAAAACAACAACAACCTCAGAAGAAGAAAATACTCCAATTATTTGTTCCTACCGATGGGCTAAGAAAATTAAGAGCACTTTACAGAACATCATCTTTCTTTTCAGCTAATATGACAATTTGATGCATACCACTGCTTCTCTGCACTAACTGTGTCATTTTAAAAAAGCTATTTTTAGTTTACAACATTTAGTTAGAAGCTAAATGACTGCAGGTTGATTTTTTGTGCTGTATGGGTGAAGCTCCACAGCTGCTAACGCTGTACTTAATAGCCACGAGTCGGCTATTAAAAATAAAGCTCAGAGAAACAGCACTCTGCTCTGACCTCAGTAAACACTTTCCTGTTTTTATGTAGACGTCATCACAGAGACTGCGTCCATCTTTTATACTTTAATACATTGTAGCTCAGTGTAAACGCTAACATTTGCCTCTTAACACACCAGATATTAAGCTAACACCAGGCTGCCATTTTGGATGCTAACTGTCCTGTAGCTCACTGATAGGGCCAGCTTTTGCTTTGAAATGTAAAATATTAACAACTGTGCAGCTAAGTGATAGCCATGTTTGTCTGCTGATATATGAAATACTATTGGCTGTGTAGCTAAATGACACCAGCGAAGCTAGTAACATGACGTGTGTTTAAAAAAAACAAACAAACCCAAACATACAAACAGTTGTTTCGCTAATAAATTACATGCTAGCTCAGGAAAGAAAACATGCCACCCTTTGGGAAAATCTGTTTTGAATAATGTGTGACTGTTGATCTGATAAGTTTGGATCTGATAAGCTTTTGGATAACTAGCTGGCTTATGTAATATGTCCAGCTTAGGACTCTATTAGCGAGCATTAACCATCACAGACTGGTGCAATATTAGGCGTTTACATTAATCTTACTACAGATAATTTTTCAGCTATTTAGACATATTTTATGGTTCAACCTGATTGAGTAAAAACCACTAGATGTAAAGTTACTAGTTGTTATAGATCAATAACATATGAATAGGGTGCGAATTCAGAACCTGACACCGACAAGGCCCTCAGTGGTGTTAATATTTGAGAAATCATGCCGTTAATAAATGGTTAAATATCTGGCAGAGAAGTTGCCTGAGTGGAGCTACAGTGTATGCTACAGTCTAAAGATAACGTCACCCCTGAAAACAACAGGATGCAGACGGTGTTGTCTTACACAATTTGACAATCCTAGCACTGTAGCATGGACTCCTCTGCTGTCAGCATCCACGAACCACGTGAGAGCGCATCACATAAATAAATATTATGCAAACATTTGGTGGCAGGCAGATTTGCTGCAGGAAATAAGCTAATATGGCTAGCTGATTCAATATGGCAAGGACATTTTTTTCAGTTAATACAAGTGTTATGTGCGCTGTGGATGTGGCAGCATGGCTCTGCCTTTTTTCTACTATAGTGTCAATCTGCCTTTCTAATATTAAACTTTATGCAAAGCTTTTTAAAATACTAGCATGAATTCAGTCGCAGAGTTTGCTCATATAGTTTGATGCAGCACTTAATTTTTCTGTCCATCAGTCAACAAATTAAATGAACTACTTAAAGAAAATTACATGTATAAAAATTGTCATTATTCTATATGTTGGTTGCTGTCACTGCAAAGAAACACTTCTTTTTACTTTGATGAAAGACCTTGATAAAACTGCCTCTTCTTCTGAAATGACTCCAACAAATGCATAAGCACCTCGATGCATACGTCACCACCACCCTCTCCTGCAAGACACCGCAGTCTCTTGCTCAACAGTCCAAAACCAAAACAAGTAGAAAAATATACAACACGCTCGTGAGAACTACGACCTCCCCTCGCACGTCACCGCTCTGACATGGAAACTACTGTTGTTATCCAGAAGCTGACGGATAAAATGCTCCCTCCTACACGCACTCAGGAATGAATGACAAACAACAGGCACTTTTCCTTTCAACACAAAAATCATATACACTTAAAACAGGACGCTATTATTGCATACAGTAAGAAAAAATTTGTTTCTTTTGACTCTGGTTTTTGTGCTGCTAGGTTATATAGAGATAGTTCGTTTGATCCATAGTTACAGGCAAGTCTAGTTCGCAAAGTGTTCGCTGATTATTACGAAAAAAAATAGAAAATTAAAAACAAAAACACATTACTAATAACGGGATCTGAGAGTAAGGAGGCACACACCTTTTACACCTAACCGCTGTCGCTCCGAGATGCCAAATATCAACACGTTCGCATGCGTTCTCAAATATCACGTCGCCCTACTTGACCGAAACACATTCCACTTACGCCATCGCCGACTTCACAACCTCAAACTACTCTACGTCTTACAAAAACCTCCCGAAGCACAATGAAGAACATTCTGAAGTCCTGAATTGATACCGAAACTATTCCGCCTATCTACGTCCAACGTGTTGCACAGCCATCTGCAGATAAGAGGTACTTTAAAAGCACTTAAAAATAATACAGAAGACAGTCATCGAGAGGATATCCTGCAGGACCTAACTGTGCCATAACCAATCCTGTAGTAAGAGGTTAAAAAAAAAAAAAAAAAAAATCAATCACATGGTGAGAAAATGTCAGCATTTTTAAATGATGGGAAAAATACGTTGATTATAAAGCTTTCGTTAAAGTTAAAATTTACAATGAAGAATGTAGTACTGACTCAAAAGAGTTCAAATAAAAAGATATACATATGATCTAATATCCACATTATGGGAGAGAGAATAGAAACGGGGGGAGTGCTAAGACGAAGTTTGTCAATTAAATTAGGTTTTCAATGGCTCACTGCAAACTTGTATCGAAGAGTAAAACTACATCTACAATAAAATCTGTACAAACTCAATCTACATGTATATGGCAAATTGTAAAAGCAGTAGCTTAACAAGTGGAAAAAAAAAAATCACATTGAAACATTTTACAGATATTTCTTTAAATTTTCACTGTTGGCTCATACAAACCGGAATATAGTGAAATGATAAAAATTCTCTGATCATCTCAGGTTTCTGAAAAAAATTAAGAAATTCCACAATAAATTACAGCTAGGACTCAACTGAAAAGAAATCCTAATGTTGTTTTTTTTTTAAAAAAAAAAGAAAAGAAAAGAAAAGAAAAGAAAAAGACTACAGCTTTCATTAAAAAAGAAAAAGATCTGTCCTTTCAGAAATGTTTCAAACAGCTAGCTAGTTAAAGCTACACTACTGAAGACGAGCACGGAGGGGAGGCAAACACAGCGGGTGGGTCTAGGGGCCGGTGTCGGGCTGATGGTCTTGGATGTGACCAGGTGGTGTGGCCCAGCCCAGAACCAGGTGTAGGCGATAGTCATCTGCAGCAGCCCATTGGGCCGGAGGCTGTAGCAGCGGCGGCGGCAGGGCCCGCCGTCTCCAGGCTGCTGTCGGTGTCGGTCAGGGTCGGGTCGGTGGACATTGAGGAGACATCGTTGGCGGAGGTGGAGGAAGAAGTGGAGGGATGGTGCTGGTGGTGCTGCTGGGGGCTGCTGCTCACTGCTGCACCTGTGCTATGAGAAGCAGGGATGGGCCTGTGGTCAGTCACGGAACGGCATTGTGCTTTAGCAGCTGATCTAATAAAGACGGGATGGTGAAGGCTGGTTTTTACATTTGACAAACCAACGAGTGGATTCATTCTGAACCACATGCCGTATAAATGCCTGAATGTATCCGGTTTATCTACACGACTTTGAAGATTCACCGAAATAATAAATAAATTAACACAAATGTGAGCGCGGGTCACGTCAGGGCCAACACTGTTCGCATCTGCTCCCATTAGAGTGATTACGGAAATGAAATCAAAGCGCTGCAAATGTTATCTGAAGGAAAACATCTTTGTCTCAGATACATTACAATCACTTGCAATATAGTGCAGCAGCCGTGATCATGCGCAGACGTCTTGTGCAGTGCAAACACATTCACCTCTTCCATTACAAACTCATTTTAAAAAACTTGTCTCACATAACAAAGTCCACCAACCTATGGACGCCGGCTGTCCCCTGATGACGCCATTCTTCGTCCTTTCTTCCCAGTCTAGCACTTCTTTATATATCAACTCTGTAACAAACACAAGGAAAGCCATTTATTCAGATCACTTTAAAAACTGAAGGAAAAAAAAAAAAGGGTCAAAGACAGTTTTAAGATGAGGTCACGCACAAATGTTTTTCTTCTTTTGGCAAAAAGCTTCAGACTAAAAAATGGTAATAAATGAATGCCCAGTTTACACGGGAACATTTCACTCTAAGGAGACAGAAATGGGACAGTGTGTCTTCAAGCCATCTGTGCGTCACATTTACACTTTCAGGTGTGAACCTCCTGTTGTTATCACTGCTCTGCTAGGACAGGGGAGCTTAAAGATATTCAAAGGAACACTAACATGGAGAAAACGCCTCTTTTACTATTAAAAAATCTAAAAAAGCTCAAGTATTTCCAAAAACCTGAACCTAAAGTGATGAGGTCACCACTTTGCTCAATCTAAACATGTGACTGGACACAAGAAAAACAGCTACTCAGTTTAGTTTTTACGGCATTTAAAATTAATTTGAATCATAAAACATGCACATTAGTTTAAGGAAAAATTGGTTCAACTTGTTTTGCTTGTTTTTCAGTTTGTTTTGTTTCATAAAAACAGATGTGATTGTATTTAAATGTAAGAGTCGTGCTAGCTAATGCAGCACTTACACTGTACCCACCCATTCATCCTTAAGGCTCAACACCACTAAAATCAAACGTTTGTCATTAAGGACAAATTAGCTAGAGAGAACTGAACCTCTATGCATAAGATGAGCATTTTAACATGTAGCCTGTGGGTATTTTCTCACCAGTATAAAGCAACTCTAGCATTTAGCACCTCAGCATACGCTTAATTTTGTACCCACAAGGCTTCAAAGCATCATCATCCAGGAATATGTATTTTTGTGAATGAAGCAAACAGGCTTTACATTTACCATTTTCACATTAAAGGAACAGTTATGTTAATAAAGACCCAGCAGGAAGGTGATGCAGGTTTGCACACCTTAGTATTTGTGACTAAAAACAGATGACGGGGATTGTAAAGTAACCGTGAAGAATGAACTGCACTAATTTTGAAAGCTTTCGTTCATTTTGCAGACTTAGACTAAACAAAAACCAAATGTTAATCTGCATTTATACACCAATGAAAATTAGCTTTTCCCTCTTCTCTATCTTTCTCCCAAGCCGGTAAATCTCTGATGTTCTGGCCGAGGGAACCAACAGGGGAAAAAATATGCTGCTTTGGACACAGAGTTATTTTCAGCAGAAAATGAGGACTACGGGTCTGACACTGGAGCATTTATGGTTTCTGACAGACTGTGCAGAGGAAAAGATGCAACTCCCTTCCAGAACAAAGATTAAATGTCCCACAGGCTGTGAAGCACAAAGCTAGACCAACCTTATGCATCACCCTGTAAACAGCTAAGTGCTTATGACAGGAGAGGAGAGGAGCCTTCCTACCTTTCCATTCCTCCACTGTGTGCTCCCGCTCATCCAGCTGCTTGTCTGTGATCACCGGTGGTGGCTGGAAAGAAAAACAGAATAATATGTCTTTTTTACCAAATGGTCACTTCATTCATATCACATCTGCACACATCATAGACTCAGGCCATAGCTTAAACCTCTCCCTTTTCTAACATTTAACAGAGCAAAGAGAAGATGCTGATGCTGCCTCTTTAAGAGACACAAACGCCGACACTAGTAGCCTCTGATTTATGAGTGTTACCAAACCAGAGGTCAAAGTTACAGAAGTCATTCACATACAGCAGGTGTATGAGGATGTCTCAGACTCAGTGAATCCTGAGTTGAAAAATACTGGCGACTACAAGCGGTATCCCTCAGCCTCCTATTAGACACACCAATGGTATTACTACATCACCTTCTTCAAGTGTTCACAATGTTTTCATAAAACCTGTTTTCAGTCTCAGTGAAAACCGGTTTTCACTGAGACTCAAACCCATCTG